TGGTATTTTGCTATATTCTGCCTTATAATCTAGTTAAGGAGGGATATACATAAATTCTTTGAAGGCCGAAATGTTATCTTGTTCATCATTGTATTCCCTTAGTCTCAAGTATAGTACTTTCCATGAAATAAATGTTTGTTGAATCAAATTCAGAGCCACAACCTCTGGGGAATTGAAAGACCAAACAAGAAATCTGAGTGCATATACAGGAATTATGTCTCGATGCTCTCTAGCTGATCTGCATGCCCTAGATGCAAAGGAGGGAAGAAGACAGGGCAGTATTGAGATGGGGTTATTGCCATAGACTTTCAATTTAACACCATCTTGAGCACTATTTCTTGTTTAGCTGCAAGTATGGATACAATCAGTCTGTTTAAAACTTAAGGTCATGGCAGGGGTGGCAGAAGTGATAACATTTAAAACTGCTCTCATCAAAATTAATTTTTCATAATCATCACATAATTTATATGTATAAATCATCACGTAATACATCTTGAACATATACAGTTTTATCAAATATTTTAAAATAAAAAGTTCAAAAGCATTATAAATTTCTCCATATCATAGATGGAGAAAAAAGAACTGATTTCACTGGTCGTCTTCCCACTCCCCCATACAACCTTCACCATGAGCAGCAGCATGCGTCCACCACTAGGGACTTTGACAGGAAATGGCAGCAAGGGAGGCAGCCCAGGTGAACCTGCCAGGAGTCCACACCCTCTCTGAAGCTGTGGAGTAGAATTAAAGCCTACATAAGCAAACATTCCAGCTGTCTTCTTATATCTTCCCACCCCTTACCTTTTCTCCAGTGGGATCTTTTCTTAAATGTACAGAGGTATAATTAAAAGAATTTTCTCTGGGGAGCCAAGGAGTATTATCATAGAAAACTAAAGATGTTCCAGAATGAGGAAGAATCATAGCCAAGAGTAATGCATTGAAATTCATCAAGAAATCTTGCTACTTTTGGCATATTTGTTTTAAATGTCACTATTTGAAATGTATTACAACAATCAGCAACTTGGTGTGAAGCTTGAAGAATATAGAGACATCTGTAATGCTTTGGAAACATTACAAAACAAGTGAAAGAAAACATTTTAAGGAGGAATTCTCAAATATTCACAGTGTTCAGGTTTTTAATGGAGCTGTTGATAACCTTATTGTCTAGCAAAGTTCTGACTATAGAATGCATTAGACTTCTTGGCTGTAGCCAAATGGGGTGGCAACCAGAGATGGCATACACAGTGTACTTGATAAAATGCTGTTTATTTAAGATATTAGAGTGGCCATTATGTTCAAGTACGAAGTTTCAATCCTCTCAATAAACTTAATCTAGGAAGAATAAGATGTTTTAGAATGTTTTTAAATTTCACTAGGACACAGTGTACTCTCCGAGTTGTTACTTAACATAGTGTCAGATGTAAAAACTGGTTTTGATAGATTCACACATAAACAGAAGTAAGTTTAGAGGTTCTTTCTGTGATTCTTTTCCATTATTGCATACTTGTGGCTAAGGATATTGGCTTGAGTGTGTGTGTGTGTGTATGTGTGTGTGTGTGTGTGTGTGTGTGTGTGTTTTAGAAATTTTTATTCAGGAAATTGAAAATAAAATAGAGTTCAAGTCATTGTATTATTGTTGTTTGTATGACATCACAGGTAAGATTTTAATCCCATCTCAGCCACTAGCTGTTTGACCTCAGATACCTTCTTCTAACTCTCCAAGACTCTGGAAATGGGGATCATTATTCTCTAACTTGTAATATGGTTGTGAGAATTCGGTAAATAATGTTCTAAAACTATGTAATAATAAGTTCCTAATCTCTGTTAAATAAATTTTGTTCCCTTTCTCTTTTCTTATGAAAAACCTGTTATACATATATATATAAGTATATTAAAATGATATAATCCAGTAGAAAAACCCAACATTTATAAGAAGCATAGATTCTATCAGCTAGAAACAATCTTAGGGATAATCTGTTTCAGTGATTCTTAGCATTTGTTTGGTGTATGGACTATTTTGAGAATCTGATGAAAGTTAAGGTCCTTCTGTCTCCCCCCCAAATAAGCCACTACATACAAAAATTACCTCATAATTTTAAGGGCTTCAAGAACCCTCTGAAACATATTCCTAACCTCCTGGGTTAAGAATCCCCAATGTAATTCAATACTCTTCATCTAAAAATGGAGAAATTAAGGAAGATAAGTTATATGCTCTTGAGAATTAGAAGTTATTCTGAAGACCGTTTTCTGAAGGAATCTTTCATAACTTAAGAACAAAGCATTCATCAGTAATTTCAGCAGTCTTCTCATTGTTCTTATAGTATACCTGCATTTTATCTGTGACTTGCTCTCTTGTTCATCCTTGATGTATTAGTGACGGAAGAGCTATTTACAATCTCGTGCAAAGTTAAATAATCTGAGCATCGATTGAATTTTTAACATGCTTATGCTTTTCCGCCATAATTATGCTGCTGTATTCTCAATGAGCATTCGTTAAATTCCTGCTGTGGTTTGAAGCCTGCATAAGATAACTGCATGACTGAGAACAAGTTACTGACTTGATCTAGTTACAGATAAGTATCAGGCTCATGAGCCTGTAATAAGGGGAATTTAGAGAGAGGAGCACTTCATTCAGCCCCAGAACTCTGAGAAGGTGCCACAATAAGGCAGCATTAAAGTTGAACGTTGAGTGATAAGTAGGAGTTTGCCAGGCAGAAGATGACTGAAATTTCTAGCCGTTCACAATGACTCGCAGATTCTTCCTTTACAGTTTGTTGCATCTTCACTTTATTTTCTGTTCCCACCATCATCTTCCCACAGTTCAACATTCCACTGGACCAGATCCTCAGGATCCATCTCAACAATCTTTGTTGCACACAACCACCAAATACAGTTTCCTAAAATAATTTATTCCAAGGCCCTGCTAAGAAACATTTGCCCCAAGTTATCTATAGAACACAGTCATTACCTTACCTGCCACAATTATCCAATCTTCCCCAGCACATTCTTACTCCAGCCAGGCAAGTACAGGGCATCAGTGTTAAGGGTCCACATGTAGTTCACCTTCACTGCTTTTTAGGTGTTGGTGTTGCATTTTATCTCTCATATGTGTCCTGACATATGAGTCATATGAATAATAAAAAAGCTGTTAGGAAAATCAGTGTGATAACACATGGGAAGTGCCCATTGTTGTGCCCAATATAAAATTTGCTCTCAAGAAACTAATATTTGTACCCATCATCATCATTTCCTCCAAAATACACCTTGTCTGTTTGATACAATTCCTCTTTTCTAAAAACCCCTCTTCTTCTTACCCAGGTCATTTATTACTCCTTTAGGACTGTGCTTCAGGCTTGCCTTCGCCCAGGTTTCTCCCCTAAACCCACCACTTTGCTGCAGTCTCTCCTCTCCTGCATCACCGCTATGTTTGCTTGACATTGTTTCCAAATCTACCTAACGGTCTCCTCTACCTGACTAAACTATAACGCCTAGAGCTGCCCCAAAGTGGAATAGGCTGTCATGAAAAGCCACGAGCATCCTTGACTCACCCTTGTTTAAGGACATTCATGAAACAGATGGAAGATTTGATCATTGATGTCTGAGGATCCTTTCAGTAGTTATTTTGGGATTCTGAGTTGTGTGAGATCAGGGGTATGTCCGACACTTCCTCCTACTTCCTACAACTAAGAACATAACTATTTGGTAGACACACTATTTTGTAGGCATGCTCAACTATTTGGTGTTTGACAGGCTGATTTTTCTAAAGAGTCGTCGTGCTCTTTGATTCCTGTCACAGACGCGCAATGGCTTTCCATCCTGTGGAGGTATTTAGTAGGAGTGTACAAGGTGTATAGGTTGGGGGGTGTGAACCCCACATCCATCATGCTGTGTCTGACCTATAGTAAGCATATAATGTTTAATGAACACACACTAATCATAACCAGTGTTTCAGTACATCATTGTGCACCCCTTGGGAACACACTAGAACAGAGCAAATGGAAGAGTCTCTTTCAAAGTTAAAGCTGAGGTTTTAGGAAGAAGTACAATGAAGGAAAAGATCTGTTGCAGGAGAAAAAAAATGGCCCTTTATGTTCTACAGGAGCAGCTCTTACTGCGTATTTGATTTTTCTTCCTCACAACTTCACTGGGGCAGAGAAAGAGAGCCCATGAATCTAAGACAACATTTACGTTTAATATCCTTATTGGAAACTCTATTCTCCAGATTGTGTTGAAGCATTATACAGTGCACCTCTAATCTCTGACAGTTTGTTGTCTTTTAGAAATTTACTGCTTTACCTTCTCTATTGCTGACTTTCGGGTAGCTACATTTAATCTTATTGTGGCCTCTCCTTTTTATACCAGTTTGGCTTAATGCTAAAAGAACCATCAGCTTCAAAGAACTCTTCCTGTCCTTCCTCCCCTCCCCAACTCAGTTGGAAGGTGGGGTAAGATGGTGGCAGGGAAGAAGAGGAAATCAGTTAATTGCAGGCTGTCAGAGTTGTTTTAGGTGACTTTTTACTTCTTAAATTTAAGGTGAACATGAACTATAGACATTTCAGGCTGGGAATTTAATAGCAACAAAAAAGCATGGGTTTTGCTAATGCCAGGAATGACTCATCTGGTGAGAATGGTATTGTATTGATAATACAATACAGAGAGAAAGAAAAGACTGTGGTGTCTGCTTTCTTTGTGTTGCTGACCTTGAGGAGAATTATAACTTGTTTGTTGCAGAAGTTGAGCATCTAATGTGCTGATGCACCTGTTCTTATATATTAAATGGCAAAGCACTTGCAGTTCCCTATGATTGCTTTGTGGGTGAAATATTTTCTGCAATCTGGTGAAATGACTTTTTTTTCTAAATAATGTATTCATTTGTATTTCTTGCATCTCTTATTTCTCAAAAATATGCTTTCTCATTTCAACACCCTGGTCTCATCGTTACATCTTAGAATATGTTTGGCTTTTTATTTTCAAGGTAACATTTTGATTTCTTTTTAATGTAGAGACCATGAACCAAGCAACTCCTGCTAGAAAGCTGGAAGAGGTTCTTCATCTAGCAGAGCTCTGCATAGAAGTCTTACAGCAGAATGAAGAGCATCACTCAGAGGTGGTGACTTGTTTTAACTATAAAGCTATACCTAATGCTTTGCCATGGTGTGGACAACAATGGCCTGATGGTAGTCTTGATATGTCTGAAAGATGAGAACATATGTGCATTTGCTAGAAATGTTACTCCTATATGTTATAAAGCAATTATGTGTGTATATAATTTCACGTTTGTTGTCAGGAATATGGTGGGGGCTTATGGGCCCCGTCCAAGAAAGCATACTAGAAAGAAGCAAAGGTGGAACACAAGCCCATCTTGTGATGCCAAATAACTTTCATTTCCCCTGTGCTATCATTACTTTAGTTTTAAAATATAAGTTAATCAACTTGGAAAAGGAAAACTTGTGATAAACTATGAAATAAAAGGTAATTAAAGACAGTCATAATTGTATGGTTGATAACGCTAGATTTTTCTACTCTTAACATCAAACTATTCTTTAAGTCAGCATTGCTCACTAAACCAGCATTGCTTATAATTTTAAAATATTCTAATTACTAACATTCACTAATGATCTGAGATGCCTTTTCACCAGACGAACTCCTTATTCTAAGGCTTAAAATTCTCACTCCAATAGTCAGGAGTTTGTTTACAAAAGCAAAAAAGTTTTCTGACTTTGAGTTGAGTGGAGGAAATGTGTAGAATTTAATAAATATAAATGTCAATGCCCTAAAAGTGCTTTTATTCTTGAGGAAGCACATAAAATGAATAAGAATAAAAAATACCAGATATATATGAGCTTATAGAATATTTGTATTTAATGAAGCCTAGTTTTCAAAAGTATAAGAAACTATAGGAACTATATTTTAAGCCAATTATTAGAAAAGAGTATTTGTGAAACCTTACTATAGGTAACTAAGATTTATTGTCTCTGGTTATAAATATGATCATTCAAAACATCTGCTTTTAGCTCACACTGTGGAATCTAGTTTTTAGCTTGCATCTGTCATGTGTGAACTTGTTATGGATATTTTATTTTAAACTGAAGAAACAGCTGCTTCAATAATTTGAAATGAATTCCCAGGAGGTTCTTTTCTAGGGTAGTACCACTGCTATGTTACAAAGAAAATGATTATATGATAAAATATATGTATGTTTTGTCTTTGTCTTTTGTTAAAAGGCATTATCATCAGAGTGTGAGGCTTTTTTGAATTAAAAAAAAATCTGATTGGTTATACAATTGTAGTATATATTTCAGCTAAACAGGTACATTTAATATTCCCATACATTTTACCAAAACTAAAAATGAAATGTTATTTAATGCAACTAAATATTATTCTGTACAGTCACTAAAATGCTTATTAAAGTATACTGTATCCAAACAAAATGTAAATATTACTCATTTTCAGACTCACAAAAATGCAGTTGACTTTATTAAATAAGATAATCATAATGCCTTAATTTTACTCTACTATATGCTGAAATATAGAACTATTATGATGACCTTTTTAAAATGCTTTGTAACACTATGGCATTTTTCTATTCCACAATGCTTCCAAATTCTTGGAAACCCTCAGGGAAGAGAGGTGAGTAAAATTGTTTCCACTGTTTTTCTAGTATGAGATAACTCTTTTATGTGAATTTATGATCGAACCCACTTTCTTTATAGTTATTTTTAAAACCAACTTAGCTCTCTCTTTGGTATCAAGAACAGTCTGTTTTCCTTTCAATGTGCTAATCTTGTTATACCATTCAGGTGAATGTGTCTTATTAATAATTATTGGCATAATTACTGATGGCAATCTAAGTAAAATATGACTGAAGGGATTTTGACATTTTGGTTTTGATAGTTTGGTTTTGGTTTGTGTCTTGGTTGTTTTTGTCCTTTAAAAAAAAAAATAGAAGATCTAACTTTTTCTCTGAACAATGTTGGAGAGTGAATTGGTCTGACTCCAATGTCATCTCCAGAGTGAATTGGTAGGCTGCACTCTACGCTGATATTTATTTTGCTGGATGTTCAAGCTAGACTTCCTTTACTCCGTGAAAGCATACCTAACTCAGGTCCCTTGGCAGAGGTTAATGTGTCTACCTCAAAGAGACCTTCAAGTGGCTCGTGTGTCAGCTCCTTTTATTTTCATTCTACCTCTCTCCACAGTGGCAGTTTGCAAGGCTAAGAGGTTTCTATCCATCAGCAATTTCTCAGTTAAGCAGGTTTCATGTTCTTCAGATCTTTGACAGTAACTTGCTTATAAGGCCGTCTTCCCTTCTCTCTGAAGGCCACTCGACCTCTCCTCTCAGGCTTTTCTGCAGAATTCTATTGTTTTCTCCTTAGAAACGTAGTTTAAGCTCCTATCCAGAAAACGTTTAAGGCTTTCTTCACATTTTGGTGACTAGACCATATCTGACCAGAATTTTAGACAAACTGATCTAAAAACTCTATCCAAAAGCCGCTTGCTTTCAGGAAGCTCTGAAGTCTGAAATACCAGCCAGGAAATCCACAGGCTCTCACCAGCACACCCCCTCCACATTTACCATTTTACTGACAAGAAACAGACCCAGGAAAGTTGAGCAACTTGCCAGAGGCACACAGCTAGCTGGTGACTGGGTAAAGACTGGCTAGACTCCAGACCTGGGTATTTTCCAATAAGTCTCACTGTTGCTATCCTATTGAAGTAGAATGGCTAGAGGGGTTATCCTGCCCTGGCTCTGCTGACAGGGTTGACGTGCAGCGTCACAGAAGGGTTGTAAATGCATGGGGAATATTCACAATGCAAGCCTGGAGATACCTCTTTCCATTCTATCATTCCCTTCCTTTCCTTGTAACTCGGGCATATCCCAGGATTCGGCCTAAGGGGGATGGAGTGCCGAGAATATCAGTAGAGGGTCTGATGGAGGAAATATGAACAGTATGAGCACAGATCAAGTTGTTGTTTTGTTATTATGACAGCAAAGTATTGATTTAAAATCTCTAAAATATTTTAAATATAATGTCATCCACCATATCTGTAACACTACAGGCAAAAACGTATCTAGCAGTAATTTGGTATTTGCAATGCAGGCAGCTCTCAGTTCACTGCACGTGGCTGATTCTGCCTGCACTTCACCTGGCTGTGACCCAGGCTGCTGCAGCAACACAGCTGGGACACAGAAAGCAGTTCAGTGAAGACACATACGTGTGTATATGCTCATTCCCCTAAACATCATTATTTGGACAAAATCATGCTTCTGATTGGATTCTAACATAAAGAGAAAGAGTATTTGATTTTTGTCTGTTTGTTTATGCGTAGTTATGTTCTTATTCCTAACTGGTATGCAATCTAAGGGATATGGTAAAGAGTAGTTATACAAAAGAATTAACCATGAACAAAATCGATTTAATATCTACAACTAAAGATATTATAATAATCTCAACACTTGAAATGATCTCAATTACATATTATTTATATCTGCACAGTCAGTGAAATAAACCTACTCCTTTTTAGGATGGGTTTAAATTTAAGGTTATATTAGCCTCTGACAAATATCCCTCATTTGAGAAGAATGACCAGCAAAGTGGTCTTCCCATGGCCAAGGTATAGAGGTAGAATTCTGTTTGCAGCAGGGATTCTCAAAAGAAATTGCACAGGCATAAATGCTCTGCCAAAAATGTTGTTACTAATTTACTAATTTTTACGTATGTATGCATAACAATAAAGATAGTTCTTTACACTGACATGTTTTGAAGCATTTTCGGCTCATATCATTTGGTTATTTGAATATCTGTGTTTATGTATGAACCTGATTATCAGACAGATAATCAAAACCATAAACTCAAAAGAGTTGTAAAAATCTTATGATTAGTTTAGGTATCACTCTGAAGGTTTTAGTCCATTGTCCTGGCCGCTTAAGGGAGCTCCCATATTTCTAGAATATGGCCTCTCAGTATCATTTTGCTGTGTGTGTGAATTTGTGTATGTGTGTGGTAGGGGAAGAGGATACCCCCCACACTGGATTATTTCCAGAGATTTTAGGATCATTTACAAATTACAGGATTGCAAACCAATCTCATATTGGGGAAAAAATAAGCACACAATCCATTTCAAAGTCAGGTTCACTGTTTTCGCTCATTAATGCAGCCATCCTCCTTTATTGTTTTAAATTACACATTTTTGTTATATTTTGTAGATAAAAGTAATCAAAAGCCTCAGACCTCAAAGAAATTAGAAAAGATACAAAGAAATCAGACCATAATAGAGGTTTCTGGCAAGAAGAAATCAGAGGACATTAACAGTGGTCTGATCTGCTGATCTACCATATAGATGGTAGATAAATAGGCAATGTACCATATATAATTACTTAAGAAGAGATTTTATGTGTAAGACTTTGGTCTCTACAACTGACCTAGATTCAAATCATTGCTCTGTTACCTAACAACTATACAACATTGGGCAAGCTATTTAATCTCTGTTTGATAACCCATAAAATAAGGATAATTATACAACAATCTACCTAAAATGGTTGGTTATTTGGGGGGTTAATTAAGATAATGTTTATAAAACCTTTAGAACAGTACTGTGTACATAAGTGCTATTTTATTCATGTGGACATTATTATTTTTAAAACACATAAACCCACATAAGATTTATGTGAATTTCAACACATATTTGTAATTACTGATAGCAATGTTCATTTATTACGTTTGTATAGCAAGAAATTTGTATATTCATTTGATTTTCCCCACAACTCTGCAGGAGGTTGAGGTAAGTATTGCTGTTGCTCAGTTTACAGATACAGAAATGGAAATCTACCCAGGGAACTGACTTGCCCAGGATCACTCAAGTCTCACTCCAAGTTTAAAAGCTCAGTACTCTGATTCCAGGTTCAGGGTTCATTCTTACCTGCCATCACTTTCAACTATATTCAGTAAACAAACCAGGCTTTCCATGTATTGTCGGCCTGCCACATATGTGTATTATTGTGTATTTGTATTATTTTCACTGTATAAGATTTATTTATTGCTAGAACTTTGGTAGAAATGGTATGGCTAAAGGACTTAGGATCTTAAGTTTTGTTTTGCATTTCCCTCTTAAGCAAATTAAACATTGCCTTCTGCCTCTGCCATCTCATTTGCACTGATTAGTGGGTTAGAATTAGGGCTAAGATAACTTTAAGCCAGATAATTGTGACTTTTTATTGGTGCCCTGCAGACAGATGCATTTCTGAAAGGGGTTTTCTCCACCATGGTAGAGACTCTGATGCTGTTGAATCTCTCAGCCACTTTCCATGAAGTGGTACCCTAGGGAGGAAGTTATACAGCCCTTCTTCTTACTACCAACCCAGGGCAGGACAAGTACCACTCAGTGAGATGGCAAGAAAGAGGAAGACTCAGGCGGTAGAATTGACCCTCTGTTCTCAAGGCAACTGGAACTCCTGCTTTCATTTCCAAAGACAGTGATTGCTTAAAGCTTTCCCAAGTCATCATTAGAATAGTCATTCATCACAGATTGGCATACATTCATCAGGAATAACATCATCAGGATTATAATTTGAGACATAAATAAATAATGCAAGATATAATGAATTTTCTGGTTGATGGCAAAATCTTGCCAACCTAAAGCTTTTATAAAAAAAATATTCTATTTTATTTCATTCCTTTCCCTGGCTCTGTCTTCCAAGTTAACTTTAAATTAGAGTTTGGGAAATTTTCTCAGAGACCTGACTGTTATTTTCTTAATATTAACTTTTTACAAAAGTATTGGCTGTGGACTTGAAGTGACATTTTGAAAATGTCTCTGTTTGCAATGCTGCATTTTTACTAGGATTTCTGTGTTGCTCAACTCAGAGGAATCTCAGGGGCTTCTTTTCTTTGTCATCACTACAGCTCAAAAAAGACAAGAACAAGATATTTATAATCATAGACATTAGTTAATTTTATATTATTTATTATATACCCATTCTAATGGATATTTTAAAAAGTATTCAAAGAAAGTATTTTCAAAGAGCAAGATGCTCAATTTATGTAGAGCATTCTATTCCCAATAGGTTTTCACAGTCATATATTGGTTACAGCATTGAGCCAGGCATTAAAATGTCCCTAGGTCTCAAGTCTGTTATTTACACTATAGTATTCTTCCTTAACTTTTACCACCTGCTAATTAGTTATAAGGAAATATTTTTATTAATATACTGATTATTATTCTTATCTGTTATTTTAAAACCATATTCACTATGTGAGTTTTGAAGAAAATAATGTGTCAAAATTTTATGGTCCACTTTTTTTTTGTTTTGTGGTTTGTCTCTTCCTGTTATAATCTATTTTATTAATATATTTAAAGAAGTTGAGGCTCTACAAACATAAATTCCATATATTCTTATTGAAAATAAATGTGGACTTCTCTGGCCAATGTGTGATGAATCTCATGTTTTATAAATGAATAATTAATTATAATTGGGACAATATAAAAAATATATGTATCACAGAAGTGCATATGTTTCATAGTTACTTGGTTATAAGATTCTGACTGTACCCAAAACTCAATAGAAAAATGCGAGAAAGACCTGAAAGACAATTCACCAAAAAGAGTATAAAAATAGTCCTTAACATGAAATTCTGCTCAAAGTCATTCATAATAGAGAAATGCAAACTCAAGCAAAACTGAGATAGGATAGCCAAAGAAGTCCACATTATTTTCAAGAACTCTCTAAAAACTAAGTATTGTTTTCACTCATCAAACCAGCAGAGATTTTTTAAAGTGATTGTTTCCATTACCCAAAAGGCATAATAAAGTACCTAGCTGAGTATAAAATGATAAATATTAATAGAACATAGACTGCTGTCTTTATAGTGTTTGCAGTCTAAGAGACAGACAACATTAAAATATTTACAGGTGCCATCTTATAAGCAGTGCTGAGTCCTATGAAATAAAAATGCTGGTTATCTAAGAGACTATCTAGAAGGGCCTGATTTACCTTGGAGAGTCAGGAAATTCCTCTCTATAATGTATTTTGGACCCAGAGTCATATAAGGTTTTGTAAGCCATTTAAGTGTTTTGAATTTTATCATAAGTCCATTGGGCAGCTACAAAAGCAGTTTAAGCAGAGAAATAGTGTGATCCAGTTTATGTTTTAAAATGCTGACTGGCTCCGCTGAATGGAGAAAGAATGGGAACAAACATTCTTCCTGGAGACCAGTTCCCAGTCTGTAAAGACTCTAAAATGCATACCCTTTAATCAAGTAATGTTAGGAAGTTTATCCTAAGGAAATAATCAGTAATTTATTCAGATTTTGACTCAAAGATTTATCACACTCTCATTGGGAATAGCAAAAATTTGAAAACAGCTATTCTAATAGGGGAATGGTTAAATAAATAACATCTAGATAGTATAATATACTGTCAATAAAAGTGAAATCATAGGAAAACATTATAGAGTATGATACCAAATGTTTTAATGTTTCTATTGACAGAAAAAATAAATACACCAAAGCAGTTGTAACAGTTATGCTTAAATGATGAGATACAAGGAATTTTTCTTTCTTTTTATTTTGTTTTATATATTTTCCAAATGTTGTTAGCTCAACATGTATTTCTTTTATAAAGCAATGAATGTCATTATACATTTTAATTCTATTTTGGATTATATATTTTTATTCAAGGCCATATTTGTTTATTAGTTAAATATATGTACTTATAAAATTTTTCTCACCTTTAAAAAATGTTACATTTTGTTTGTCATACTTGTTTGTGAAATGAAGACATGTTCTAAAATGTTTTCAAGTGATACAGTATCTGTGGGTGTTTCTAACAAGCAATTTATTTCTACTGTTTTTCTTTATCCTTTTATAGGCATTTGCCTGGTGGCCTGATTTACTGGCTGAACATGCAGAGAAATTCTGGGCTTTATTTACAGTGGATATGGATACTGCACTAGAGGCTCAACCACAAGACTCTTGGGATAGTTTTCCTCTTTTCCAACTGCTTAATAATTTCCTCAGAAATGACAGTGAGCACTTGCATTTTCTTTAGTGTGTGAAATGGAGCGGGGTGGGAGAATTTTTTGTACGTGAATTTGTATTGGCAGAGCCCTACCACTGGCCCAACCAGAGTTGGCGTGGGGAACATTCAGGTTTGCTCAGCCTCCCGGATTCTATCAGGCCAGAGTCTGCAAGAGACCAGCAACACTCCCACGTTGCTCCCCTGGGTTCTGAAGTTCATCTTATTCCCACCTTGCTGCATTCATTGAGGACTGATAACTTAGGCTCCCTTCTCATTGTATCTTATAGGTCAGAAAATCTTCCAAGGTTGGCATTTCTAAAGTACTTGAGAATATTTACATCTCTGAAAGACACCTTAGAAATTTATCTTCATTCTAGAAATCATGATATGTTAAGGCACCTACTAAAATGCATTGTAGTATGGCCTGAGAGTAGATTCATTTCTACAGATGATTATCAAGTATTACTGTAGGGTATGACTTGCTCATTCAGTATTCAGAAACTAAAGAGAAGGTAAAAGCTTCCTGCTGAGACTTTTTTCTCCATGCAGTGATATCTTTTTTTCTTTTTTTTTTTAGCACTAGATGCTTGTTTTATTTACTCATTTTTAGTCTAAGCTGGTGTTTGTTCAGTTTTTTTTTTATTTCATCATATTATGGGGGTACAAATATTGTTAAGGTTACATATATTGCCCTTGCCTCCACACCCCCAGTCAGAGCTTCTAAAACGTCCATCCTCCCGGTGGCATGCATTGCACTCATTATGTAAGTATACACCCATCTCCTCCTCCCCCTCCCACCCGCCTGACACCCGCTAAATGTTGCTTTTCTTTTCTTTTTCTTTTTTTTTGACATTTTGGTTACATTTTATATCTTTGTCTTTCCCTCTGAAGGGTTAGAGGTATGCCCTTCCCCTTCACAATGCTCACCACATCCCTAAGATGTGGGTCTACTCGCCACCCAGTCCCTGGTGAACACCACCATCATTTGAGCACCATAGTTTTAATCAGTCAGTACCAATTTGATGGCGAGTACATGTGGAGCCCATTTTCCTGATGCAGTGATATCTTTTACAGTTATTCTGGTAGATTGCCTTCTAGCAGCTAGCACCAACCTTGTGTTTCATTGAGATTTTAGCATACAGATTCCTAGGCTTTTTCTGTGATGATTTTTTTTTTTTTTTAGTTTTGCTTAGTCTCGAGTTGGCTACCACTGACAGCCATTGTTTCAACCCTTGCAGTGATCGTGGGGCCACTAATTCCCTATTCAGTAAAATTCTTCTCATTATAGACCAAGTTGAACTTACCTCTTCCTAACTCCTGGGTCTGACTCATTCTCTTTGATCAATGCAACCGTCTTCTTCTGTCATGTGTTCTCTTCTCCAACCCACTATCCACGTAACATTCAACTGTTCCTCACATGTTAGAGTTTTTATACCCATTACCATTCTTATCACCTTCCCCTGAATAGACTTCGCTCCATTTCTCAGTGTTGCTCTGGAATGTGGAGCTCACCATGTTACCTGAATAACCTGGACCCCACAGAGAGGCGCCTGCCTCCTGCCCTGTCTTCCTGCAGCCCAGAGAGCTCTGACTCTCCAGGGAACTTCATCACCCTGTCAATAACACTTAGAATTTTCTGTATGTTAAAACTCCAGATCTTTTTGTTGTTCCCTTCCCAGAAGGCCACTACTATATCCATCTAGTTTTAAACCTAAATCCATGTTTTCACTGTTATCTTTGTTTAAAAAAAAAATACTGTGTTTTGTTCATGGCTCTAGTGTTTCTTACCTTTCTTTTAGTTGTTCATCCCTTTAAGTCTGTGATATGACTGGGAAAAAATTTACACAGATATGAAATTGCATAATATTGTACTTCCCATGATCATCCCAAGTTTAGGACACCAGGTTAGGAACCTCTGTTCTAGTAACACTGGCATCATGTTGTAGTAATTAATAACATGGGCTTCAGTGCCAAACAGATTTATGTCCCTGTGCCACTTACTGTTTGACCTTTGACAATAGCTTACCCTCCCCAGGACTTAGATTCTTTATAAAAGGAGAATGATAGTACCTACAGTGTTGTTGGCAGTGATGATTAAATAAGATGATAACTCGTGCATAACAGATTATAAATAAATATTATAGATACTAGTGTTTTAAAATTTTAGCCTTGATTCTTTCAGTCATCTTATTCATTCTTCTACCCAATTTCATTTCCAAAAGATCTTGTTATAAAGCCAAAGAATTAAACTACAATTTCTATCTCAAATTCAACCACAATGTCTGCTCTCAGAAGTTGCTAATAAATCTGCGTTCAATTATCCATATATGAATCATTCATTCTGCAGATTATCCTCACAATTTTTAAGTTCTGATTTGGTTCCCACCTGCCAACTAGCAATCTTGGAATGACTGTCTTCCTTTCCCAGTCTCTTATCATCTTTCATTTTCTGCTAAGAAATTATAAGTCAGGTTTTTAATAGTATCTTAAGACATATGTATGACAGTAAACGTGCTTCCAAAAATAAATGCATGTATTTTGCATTGAGTCCCTAAATGAAAATAAGTAGGTGTGACTTTTTTTCTAACAGTGCTTTGTCCAGTTGAATGAAAACTCAGTAATCGACCATATTTAGATGTATGTTGGAGTTCATTCAAAAATGAGGCATCAGTGTTCACAGTCAAGCAGTTACTAAAGATGTTGAATCATTTGCCTTACCAATTTTATGGAGAAGAATTTTGTAGACATCTTAGAAATATTCTTGGTAAATCTCTCCTATAACTCAATGAATTAACTTTTTTATATTCATTTTTAAAAAGAGTTCTTGTATTGCAAGTATAAATTTATGGGATAACAAAATGAGAACTACAAAAATTTAATTTTCAGCCAGATTTGCAAACATTTAATTCACAAGAGTTTTGATGTTCCTCACCTGTTTTATACCACTTCTATCACATCGACTGCTATTAAATACATAAAATATTGTCTTGTGTATTTGTTGTACATTACTCATCACAATAGAGAAGCATTTATTACTGATCTCTTTTGAGTACTCTCAATTTTGAGGATGAGTCTAGATCTTAGCTTTGATTTTTCAGTGATTAACAGATTTAGAAAACATCAATTATTTCTGAGAAAAACAGCTCCTCTATGTAGTAAGGTAAATAGAAAAGTTCCCCAGTGCCATAATTTCTTTTTGGTACTGGGAGTACGGTGTGATCTGGGGAATTGAAGTAGAATACAATGACTTTCATCCAAAACTCACAAGTTCACTATCCAAAACCAAGACCACTGAGTAATATCTCAGTAGTCAGTAAAACATAATTTTTCTAGCTATTAATATCACCCATGATGATAGTGAAGAGTACTATTAATAATTGTATGTTTGTTTTATTACATTCTGTAGATACTCAGATGATGATTTAGTGGATTCAATTCAAATGTTTAATGTTAGCCTATGGCTGCCCCAAATTGTCCTTTGGGAAAACTGTGGAAAAACATTGAATATCTATCCTTTTAGCCCCCTTTAAATAAAGATCCTTACATCATGGCCATAGCATTACAGTTTTTACTATACATTATAGTTTTTATTATAGCCAATTACAGTTACAGTCCAAATTACAACTTTAGCCAAGAAATAGAGAACTCTGAATATCCAGTCTTGGAAAGGGAGATAATGTGCTGAAAAATAGTCCTTACTTACATAGCTGTAAGTTTTGTGTGTGTGTTTCTGTGTTACATGACATGTGCTGCTAATTATATGTAGATTTTTAAATGGTTGTGATTTATCACTAATAATGTCATATATTTATGTTTGCTTTTCCAAAATGTAAAATTACTCAGACTCCTCAAACTAATGGAGATTTTAGTTAGAATTTGTACTTTATTAGTGGCTTGAAAATTTTATAGCTGAGTCATTTCTTTTTATAATATTTTTCATGAATAATCCAGATGTTTCCATTGGTTATTTACCATTTTTCTTTTATTAAAATACTTATGTGTTGATATTTAAAAATAGACGATTTGGGTGTATAAAAGGGATCTTAAATGAATCTCTTCATTTTTCAGCTGAGGAAACTAAATCCCTCAGAGACGGTGAGCCTGGGCAGGGGCTTGCCAGCTGGGAGTTAGGAACAGAGGTGACTGGGAGCCTAAGCCCTTGCTCTCCAGATCAGTCTCATTCTACAGTAACAAAAGCAGATTCTGGGGGGCATTCATAAAATAATATAAGCTTTTTATAAGGAGGAACTTTTAACTCAAAATATTTATAAGGGCATTGGGTTGTGGGGCCCCAAAGGAAGAGAGTTGATTAAAGGACACAAAAAGGCTCATATATGAAGGTACCTGTTGTCTTAGCATATATGTCAGGAAATGTCTATGACAAGATGGGACTGAACTAATTAGTGGGGAAACAGATCAAGACAGCAAATTCAGCATCTATGTTAAGGAAGGGAAAAAAATCTGTCTGGGGCATGTGTCTTTCCTTACAGTTAGCCATGATTAGGGAAAGTCGTAGCTTTAAGAACCCTTAGAGATGAAAGTGGTTTTCCTCCAGGGAAGAGTACCAGCTGCACCACAATTTTAGCAACTGTCCCCAATCTCCCACCCCTCGCAGACTCACGCACTGATTCCCAGAGCAAGTCTGATGATGAAAACAAACTCAGACTCCTTCATTTCTGGCCAAAAAAGACTTGAGCTCCCGCATGCCTCTCCACCCTGCCTTCACCCAGCCTGATCCACAACCCCCTACTAAAGAGATAATTAGATGGGCAATCTCTTTAAATGGCATCTAAGGAAACAATTTTGAAAGAGAGATGTATTAAAATTAAGGGAAGATGAATGTTGTTATCATGAAGCAATTAGCATGAGAGTTAAATGATACTGAATGACTCTAAAGCTAGCACAAATAGAGTCTACCCTTGCACACTGTTTCCCACAGTCTTCCTGTCAATAATGGATATGGAGAGTGACCGCTTCTGACAAATGAAAGCCATCTGCAAATGGCAC